TTTTCACAACAGAAAGGCAGACAAAAATGGTGTAAAAGTTATATCTAAGAAAACAAGAAAGCAGGAATATTTTCTTCTAGTTATCATGGAAATATGTTTGTACAAACTAAAAGTACATTTTTCACTGCTTCTCTGAGGGTATTTCTACCAGGTTTTCACCTCAGAAAGGCAGACAAAAATGGTGTAAAAGTTATATCTAAGAAAACAAGAAAGCAGGAATATTTTCTTCTAGTTATCATGGAAATATGTTTGTACAAACTAAAAGTACATTTTTCACTGCTTCTCTGAGGGTATTTCTACCGGGTTTTCACCTCAGAAAGGCAGACAAAAATGGTGTAAAAGTTATATCTAAAAAAACAAGAAAGCAGGAATATTTTCTTCTAGTTATCATGGAAATATGTTTGTACAAACTAAAAGTACATTTTTCACTGCTTCTCTGAGGGTATTTCTACCAGGTTTTCACCTCAGAAAGGCAGACAAAAATGGTGTACAAGTTATATCTAAGAAAACAAGAAAGCAGGAATATTTTCTTCTAGTTATCATGGAAATATGTTTGTACAAACTAAAAGTACATTTTTCACTGCTTCTCTGAGGGTATTTCTACCGAGTTTTCACAACAGAAAGGCAGACAAAAATGGTGTAAAAGTTATATCTAAAAAAACAAGAAAGCAGGAATATTTTCTTCTAGTTATCATGGAAATATGTTTGTACAAACTAAAAGTACATTTTTCACTGCTTCTCTGAGGGTATTTCTACCAGGTTTTCACCTCAGAAAGGCAGACAAAAATGGTGTAAAAGTTATATCTAAGAAAACAAGAAAGCAGGAATATTTTCTTCTAGTTATCATGGAAATATGTTTGTACAAACTAAAAGTACATTTTTCACTGCTTCTCTGAGGGTATTTCTACCGGTTTTCACCTCAGAAAGGCAGACAAAAATGGTGTAAAAGTTATATCTAAGAAAACAAGAAAGCAGGAATATTTTCTTCTAGTTATCATGGAAATATGTTTGTACAAACTAAAAGTACATTTTTCACTGCTTCTCTGAGGGTATTTCTACCGGGTTTTCACCTCAGAAAGGCAGACAAAAATGGTGTAAAAGTTATATCTAAGAAAACAAGAAAGCAGGAATATTTTCTTCTAGTTATCATGGAAATATGTTTGTACAAACTAAAAGTACATTTTTCACTGCTTCTCTGAGGGTATTTCTACCGAGTTTTCACCTCAGAAAGGCAGACAAAAATGGTGTACAAGTTATATCTAAGAAAACAAGAAAGCAAGAATATTTTCTTCTAGTTATCATGGAAATATGTTTGTACAAACTAAAAGTACATTTTTCACTGCTTCTCTGAGGGTATTTCTACCGGGTTTTCACCTCAGAAAGGCAGACAAAAATGGTGTAAAAGTTATATCTAAGAAAACAAGAAAGCAAGAATATTTTCTTCTAGTTATCATGGAAATATGTTTGTACAAACTAAAAGTACATTTTTCACTGCTTCTCTGAGGGTATTTCTACCGGGTTTTCACCTCAGAAAGGCAGACAAAAATGGTGTAAAAGTTATATCTAAGAAAACAAGAAAGCAGGAATATTTTCTTCTAGTTATCATGGAAATATGTTTGTACAAACTAAAAGTACATTTTTCACTGCTTCTCTGAGGGTATTTCTACCGAGTTTTCACCTCAGAAAGGCAGACAAAAATGGTGTAAAAGTTATATCTAAGAAAACAAGAAAGCAGGAATATTTTCTTCTAGTTATCATGGAAATATGTTTGTACAAACTAAAAGTACATTTTTCACTGCTTCTCTGAGGGTATTTCTACCGGGTTTTCACAACAGAAAGGCAGACAAAAATGGTGTAAAAGTTATATCTAAGAAAACAAGAAAGCAGGAATATTTTCTTCTAGTTATCATGGAAATATGTTTGTACAAACTAAAAGTACATTTTTCACTGCTTCTCTGAGGGTATTTCTACCAGGTTTTCACCTCAGAAAGGCAGACAAAAATGGTGTAAAAGTTATATCTAAGAAAACAAGAAAGCAGGAATATTTTCTTCTAGTTATCATGGAAATATGTTTGTACAAACTAAAAGTACATTTTTCACTGCTTCTCTGAGGGTATTTCTACCGGGTTTTCACCTCAGAAAGGCAGACAAAAATGGTGTAAAAGTTATATCTAAGAAAACAAGAAAGCAGGAATATTTTCTTCTAGTTATCATGGAAATATGTTTGTACAAACTAAAAGTACATTTTTCACTGCTTCTCTGAGGGTATTTCTACCGGGTTTTCACCTCAGAAAGGCAGACAAAAATGGTGTACAAGTTATATCTAAGAAAACAAGAAAGCAGGAATATTTTCTTCTAGTTATCATGGAAATATGTTTGTACAAACTAAAAGTACATTTTTCACTGCTTCTCTGAGGGTATTTCTACCGGGTTTTCACCTCAGAAAGGCAGACAAAAATGGTGTAAAAGTTATATCTAAGAAAACAAGAAAGCAAGAATATTTTCTTCTAGTTATCATGGAAATATGTTTGTACAAACTAAAAGTACATTTTTCACTGCTTCTCTGAGGGTATTTCTACCGAGTTTTCACCTCAGAAAGGCAGACAAAAATGGTGTACAAGTTATATCTAAGAAAACAAGAAAGCAGGAATATTTTCTTCTAGTTATCATGGAAATATGTTTGTACAAACTAAAAGTACATTTTTCACTGCTTCTCTGAGGGTATTTCTACCGGGTTTTCACCTCAGAAAGGCAGACAAAAATGGTGTAAAAGTTATATCTAAGAAAACAAGAAAGCAGGAATATTTTCTTCTAGTTATCATGGAAATATGTTTGTACAAACTAAAAGTACATTTTTCACTGCTTCTCTGAGGGTATTTCTACCAGGTTTTCACCTCAGAAAGGCAGACAAAAATGGTGTAAAAGTTATATCTAAAAAAACAAGAAAGCAAGAATATTTTCTTCTAGTTATCATGGAAATATGTTTGTACAAACTAAAAGTACATTTTTCACTGCTTCTCTGAGGGTATTTCTACCGGGTTTTCACCTCAGAAACGCAGACAAAAATGGTGTAAAAGTTATATCTAAGAAAACAAGAAAGCAAGAATATTTTCTTCTAGTTATCATGGAAATATGTTTGTACAAACTAAAAGTACATTTTTCACTGCTTCTCTGATGGTATTTCTACCGAGTTTTCACTTCAGAAAGGCAGACAAAAATGGTGTACAAGTTATATCTAAAAAAACAAGAAAGCAGGAATATTTTCTTCTAGTTATCATGGAAATATGTTTGTACAAACTAAAAGTACATTTTTCACTGCTTCTCTGAGGGTATTTCTACCAGGTTTTCACCCCAGAAAGGCAGACAAAAATGGTGTGAAAATTATATCTAAGAGAACAAGAAAGCAGGAATATTTTCTTCTAGTTATCATGGAAATATGTTTGTACAAACTAAAAGTACATTTTTCACTGCTTCTCTGAGGGTATTTCTACCGGGTTTTCACCTCAGAAAGGCAGACAAAAATTGTGTTCAAGTTATATTTAAGAGAACAAGAAAGAAGAAATATTTTTTTCTAGTTATCAAGGAAATATGTTTGTACAAACTAAATGTACATTTTTCACTGCTTCTCTGAGGGTATTTCTACCGGGTTTTCACCTCAGAAAGGCAGACAAAAATGGTGTGAAAGTTATATCTAAGAGAACAAGAAAGCAAGAATATTTTCTTCTAGTTATCATGGAAATATGTTTGTACAAACTAAAAGTACATTTTTCACTGCTTCTCTGAGGGTATTTCTACCGGGTTTTCACCTCAGAAAGGCAGACAAAAATGGTGTGAAAGTTATATCTAAGAGAACAAGAAAGCAAGAATATTTTCTTCTAGTTATCATGGAAATATGTTTGTACTAACTAAAAGTACATTTTTCACTGCTTCTCTGAGGGTATTTCTGCCAGGTTTTCACCTCAGAAAGGCAGACAAAAATGGTGTGAAACTTATATCTAAGAGAACAAGAAAGCAAGAATATTTTCTTCCAGTTATCATGGAAATATGTTTGTACAAACTAAAAGTACATTTTTCACTGCTTCTCTGAGGGTATTTCTACCGGGTTTTCACCTCAGAAAGGCAGACAAAAATGGTGTACAAGTTATATCTAAGAAAACAAGAAAGCAGGAATATTTTCTTCTAGTTATCATGGAAAAATGTTTGTACTAACTAAAAGTACATTTTTCACTGCTTCTCTGAGGGTATTTCTGCCAGGTTTTCACCTCAGAAAGGCAGACAAAAATGGTGTGAAAATTATTTCTAAGAGAACAAGAAAGCAAGAATATTTTCTTCTAGTTATCATGGAAATATGTTTGTACAAACAAAAAGTACATTTTTCACTGCTTCTCTGAGGGTATTTCTACCGGGTTTTCACCTCAGAAAGGCAGACAAAAATGGTGTGAAACTTATATCTAAGAGAACAAGAAAGCAGGAATATTTTCTACTAGTTATCATGGAAATCTATTTGTACAAACTAAAAGTACATTTTTCACTGCTTCTCTGAGGGTATTTCTACCGGGTTTTCACCTCAGAAAGGCAGACAAAAATGGTGTGAAAGTTATATCTAAGAGAACAAGAAAGCAAGAATATTTTCTTCTAGTTATCATGGAAATATGTTTGTACAAACTAAAAGTACATTTTTCACTGCTTCTCTGAGGGTATTTCTACCGGGTTTTCACCTCAGAAAGGCAGACAAAAATGGTGTGAAAGTTATATCTAAGAGAACAAGAAAGCAAGAATATTTTCTTCCAGTTATCATGGAAATATGTTTGTACAAACTAAAAGTACATTTTTCACTGCTTCTCTGAGGGTATTTCTACCAGGTTTTCACCTCAGAAAGAGAGAAAATTTTATAAAATTTTAATTGAAAAAAAATAACTAATGAAAAAAAGGATACAAAAATTGAAATAATGACCTTTTACCTTAGGCGGAATTTTAATTCCCTCTCATTAAAATTTTGATGTCCAAATAAAAAATAATTTTCAGTAGTAATAACTCCTTTAAACTAGCTCTGTTTAATATATTTGGTTCCTTTATCTCTTATTTGGATGTTGACATAATTTTTAACATGTCAATGCTCGATACTTAAATTACTCGCTGATAAAATTCAGTATTAGACACCTGTTTTCCATTTTTTTATTATTTGTGCTGCATTAGTGTAGAAATAACTTCAATTTACATTGTTGGTTCTTCTTCTTTAAGAACCTAAAAAAATTTTGGAAATATTACAAACAGAATTACCAATCAACTACTTTTTTGTCGTTTTAAAAGAAAAAGCGTTGTCAAAGCAAATGTACATTTTTCACTGGCTCTCTGAGGGTATTTCTACCGGGTTTTCACCTCAGAAAGGCAGACAAAAATTGTGTTCAAGTTATCTTTAAGAGAACAATAAAGAAGGAATATTTTTTTCTAGTTAGCAAGGAAATATGTTTGTACAAACTAAAAGTACATTTTTCACTGGTTCTCTGAGGGTATTTCTACCGGGTTTTCACCTCAGAAAAGCAGACAAAAATTGTGTTCAAGTTACATTTAAGGGAACAAGAAAGAAGTAATATTTTTTTCTAGTTATCAAGAAAATATGTTTGTACAAACTAAAAGCATATTTTTCACTGGTTCTCTGAGGGTATTTCTACCGGGTTTTCACCTCAGAAAGGCAGACAAAAATTGTGTTCAAGTTATTTCTAAGAGAACAAAAAAGCAGGAATATTTTTTTCTAGTTATCATGGAAATATGTTTGTTCAATCTAAAAGTACATTTTTCTCTTCTTCTCTGTGGGTATTTCTACCGATATTTCACCTCAGAAAGGCAGACAAAAATGGAGTACAAGTTATATCCATAAAAACAAGAAAGCAGGAAAATTTTTGTTCTAGTTATCATGGAAATATGTTTGTACAAACTAAAAGTACATTTTTCACCGCTTCTCTGAGGGTATTTCTAACGGGTTTTCACCTCAGAAAGGCAGACAAAAATGGTGAACTAGTTAAATATAAAATAAACAAGAAAGCAGGAATATTTTCTTCTAGTTATCATGGAAATCTATTTGTACAAACTAAAAGTACATTTTTCACTGCTTCTCTAAGGGTATTTCTACCGATTTTTCACCTAAGAAAGGCAGACAAAAATGGAGTACAAGTTATATCTAAGAAAACAAGAAAGCAGGAATATTTTCTTCTAGTTATCATGGAAATCTATTTGTACAAACTAAAAGTACATTTTTCACAGCTTCTCTGAGAATATTTCTACCGGGTTTTCACAACAGAAAGGCAGACAAAAATGGTGTACAAGTTATATCTAAGAAAACAAGAAAGCAGGAATATTTTCTTCTAGTTATCAAGAAAATATGTTTGTACAAACTAAAAGCATATTTTTCACTGTTTCTCTGAGGGTATTTCTACCGGGTTTTCACCTCAGAAAGGCAGACAAAAATTGTGTTCAAGTTATTTCTAAGAGAACAAAAAAGCAGGAATATTTTTTTCTAGTTATCATGGAAATATGTTTGTTCAATCTAAAAGTACATTTTTCTCTTCTTCTCTGTGGGTATTTCTACCGATATTTCACCTCAGAAAGGCAGACAAAAATGGTGTACAAGTTAAATATAAAAAAAACAAGAAAGCAGGAATATTTTCTTCTAGTTATCATGGAAATCTATTTGTACAAACTAAAATTACATTTTTCACTGCTTCTCTAAGGGTATTTCTACCGATTTTTCACCTAAGAAAGGCAGACAAAAATGGAGTACAAGTTATATCTAAGAAAACAAGAAAGCAGGAATATTTTCTTCTAGTTATCATGGAAATCTATTTGTACAAACTAAAAGTACATTTTTCACTGCTTATCTAAGGGTATTTCTACCGATTTTTCACCTAAGAAAGGCAGACAAAAATGGAGTACAAGTTATATCTAAGAAAACAAGAAAGCAGGAATATTTTCTTCTAGTTATCATGGAAATCTATTTGTACAAACTAAAAGTACATTTTTCACAGCTTCTCTGAGAATATTTCTACCGGGTTTTCACAACAGAAAGGCAGACAAAAATGGTGTACAAGTTATATCTAAGAAAACAAGAAAGCAGGAATATTTTCTTCTAGTTATCATGGAAATCTATTTGTACAAACTAAAAGTACATTTTTCACAGCTTCTCTGAGAATATTTCTACCGGGTGTTCACAACAGAAAGGCAGACAAAAATGGTGTGAAAGTTCCCACACAGCACCGAAAGTTTCCTAAACCAGTATTAAAGCTGTGCGTGCCAAGTTGGAAAAATTTACCGTAAAGCTTAGCACAGGTTGTGTAAATATGTAAATGTCCGCAATTGAGTAAATGTTTAGCGTAAAACTGTACTGAATCTTTAAATTACGTATTTAGTACAGGTTTAGCGTAAAACTGTACTGAATCTTTAAATTACATATTTAGTACAGGTTTAGCGCAAAACTGTACGGAATCTTTAAATTACATATTTGGTACCCCTATCGAAAATTCCTATATAGGAAGCTATATATAGCTATATATAGCGTCAATAATATAAAAAAAAAAATTCTTCCGACGTGTTGACTCTGAGACGCGAACCCTTGACCATCATAGCTCTCAACCGCACTGGGAGCGCCTTAACGGGCTCGACCAGGGGAGGCTATGAAATATCTTGAGAAAATGTCTCTTATAACGAAAATACTTTAAACAGATACTTATATTATTTTGTAAAGTCATCAAACAGTTTTTCAGATGTTTATTATTACAAAGAGTATATTATTGTATACATATATTTTTTTCCAATGGTATATGCGTTTTAATACCCAATTTTATATTTGGAGTTTATTAACTTCAACATTTTAATTTAGAATGACATGAATTTAAATTTTAATCAAGTGAACTCTGCATAAATTTCAATTTTTTTGGAAATAAATTAAGTAACAATGTTCGTATAGCAAATTTTTTTTAATAAACTAATGTAATTTGTATAATGCTAATACTTAATTACAACTCACTTTAAACCAGAATTTTCTTATATGAAATTAATGTGATCAAACATAAATTATTACATAACTACAATTCAATAATTATTTTTTTTTAAACAAGGAAAATAAGTTACATTGACAGAATTCTCAAGTTTTTAAAAGTTCCAAAAAAAAGTTATCAAGCAACAAAAATTTACGCACAATTTTATTAAACATTTCGTCGGTTTTTACCATAATAATCAAATTTGCTTCAATTTTCATTAACATTTTCATAATTAACGCACCAAAATACGTTAGTATACCAAGTTTTATTAAAATTGGAGAAATCCCTAATATTATAGTGTTTAAAAATAATAAAATTGTGCGTAAATTTTTGTTGCTTGATAACTTTTTTTTGGAACTTTTAAAAACTTGAAAATTCTGTCAATGTAACTTATTTTCCTTGTTTAAAAAAAAATAATTATTGAATTGTAGTTATGTAATAATTTATGTTTGATCACATTAATTTCATATAAGAAAATTCTGGTTTAAAGTGAGTTGTAATTAAGTATTAGCATTATACAAATTACATTAGTTTATTAAAAAAAATTTGCTATACGAACATTGTTACTTAATTTATTTCCAAAAAAATTGAAATTTATGCAGAGTTCACTTGATTAAAATTTAAATTCATGTCATTCTAAATTAAAATGTTGAAGTTAATAAACTCCGAATATAAAATTGGGTATTAAAACGCATATACCATTGGAAAAAAATATATGTATACAATAATATACTCTTTGTAATAATAAACATCTGAAAAACTGTTTGATGACTTTACAAAATAATATAAGTATCTGTTTAAAGTATTTTCGTTATAAGAGACATTTTCTCAAGATATTTCATAGCCTCCCCTGGTCGAGCCCGTTAAGGCGCTCCCAGTGCGGTTGAGAGCTATGATAGTCAAGGGTTCGCGTCTCAGAGTCAACACGTCGGAAGAATTTTTTTTTTTATATTATTGACGCTATATATAGCTATATATAGCTTCCTATATAGGAAACTATATGGGAAACAATATAGTTGCCCATATAGTTTCCTATATAGGTTTCGGTATCGGAATTTTCGATAGGGGTACCAAATATGTAATTTAAAGATTCAGTACAGTTTTGCGCTAAACCTGTACTAAATATGTAATTTAAAGATTCAGTACAGTTTTACGCTAAACCTGTACTAAATACGTAATTTAAAGATTCAGTACAGTTTTACGCTAAACATTTACTCAATTGCGGACATTTACATATTTACACAACCTGTGCTAAGCTTTACGGTAAATTTTTCCAACTTGGCACGCACAGCTTTAATACAGGTTTAGGAAACTTTCAGTGCTGTGTGGGTTATATCTAAGAGAACAAGAAAGCAAGAATATTTTCTTCTAGTTATCATGGAAATATGTTTGTACAAACTAAAAGTACATTTTTCACTGCTTCTCTGAGTGTATTTCTACCGGGTTTTCACCTCAGAAAGGCAGACAAAAATGGTGTACAAGTTATATCTAAGAAAACAAGAAAGCAGGAATATTTTCTTCTAGTTATCATGGAAATATGTTTGTACAAACTAAAAGTACATTTTTCACTGCTTCTCTGAGGGTATTTCTAACGGATTTTCACCTCAGAAAGGCAGACTAAAATGGTGTGAAAGTTATATCTAAGAGAACAAGAAAGCAAGAATATTTTCTTCTAGTTATCATGGAAATATGTTTGTACAAACTAAAAGTACATTTTTCACCGCTTCTCTGAGGGTATTTCTAACGGGTTTTCACCTCAGAAAGGCAGACAAAAATGGTTTACAAGTTAAATATAAAAAAAACAAAAAAGCAGGAATATTTTCTTCTAGTTATCATGGAAATCTATTTGTACAAACTAAAAGTACATTTTTCACAGCTTCTCTGAGAATATTTCTACCGGGTTTTCACAACAGAAAGGCAGACAAAAATGGTGTACAAGTTATATCTAAGAAAACAAGAAAGCAGGAATATTTTCTTCTAGTTATCATAGAAATATGTTTGTACAAACTAAAAGTACATTTTTCACTGGTTCTCTGAGGGTATTTCTACCGGGTTATCACCTCAGAAACGCAGACAAAAATGGTGTGAAAGTTATATTTAAGAGAACAAGAAAGCAAGAATATTTTCTTCTAGTTATCATGGAAATATGTTTGTACAAACTAAAAGTACATTTTTCACTGCTTCTCTGAGGGTATTTCTAACGGGTTTTCA